TTTATCTTAACTAGTGGTAAAAAATTTCAAATCAACACAATGACACAACACGAATTTTATGACACGAACTTGAAATTACCTGACACGCGAATAATAAATATAAAAAGCTCATAATTTATAACTCAACATGAATATGACATAACATAACTCGATTGTCACCCTAATATTAAACAAAAAAAAAATTAAAATTAATCATTTTTATTTTCCATCCATCAACCAAACACAAAAAAAAAATGTATCATTCTTACTTTCATCCTAAAAGATAGAAAGTGTATCTCTCTTACTTTCCATCTTTTCTACTTTTCATCCTACGGAACATAAAAAAAAAGTTGCAAAAGCTACCATACCTTGGCAACCTTGAGTTCTTGGGGACTTCACTGTGAAGTGCACCAAAGTTCCATGCAATAAAAATATATATCAATCATCCCAAGCACCATCTGCTACACCCTCTTTCTTGAACATAGACGGGGCAATCATGTACTTGTACTTATCCTCCACACTTATTGACGTGGGTCCCATCAGTGCGAGTTTGGACAGTGCAATCTGAGCGTCTTTTTGGGCAGCTGCTGCTTCTCTCTCCTTCCGTCTAGCAACCTGAAAGTCAATAGTAGCAACAGCACGTAGGAACCATGAAGAACGAGAGATAGAGAAAAGTGAAAACTTTTCTGACAATGAAAAATCCAGTATATCCTAAAAGCAATTCCTCTGGAGCATAGTGAAAACGGAAACGGAATATAGCACTATTTTCTAATATGCATATAACAGTGAACCATACCTTCCCAGTGGCAAAAGCCACAGTGTTGCCAGATTCCACATCTGCTATTGCTTTCCTTATTTGGGTGACAAGGAACTGCAATGTGCCATTACGCCGAGCAAGGATAGAGAAAAAAAATCAATGAACATGAACAAACAGAGGACAAGAGTAAGAAAGTAAAAGAGGAGGAGGGAGAAACCGTATCACGGTCAGTGTAAAATGAAGTAGCTCGGCCTGTTGATCCAGCACGGCCTGTCCTACCGATACGGTGTACATAATCTTCCATGGTCTATAATTGAGGCAGCCAGAACAGAAGTTCAAGTTTCAGCATCGTGAAGTATACTAACAGTTACTGAAATTTCATCTAACAATAGCTGACAGATTAGTCATAGAAATTCATAATGAATGGCTTACAATTACTTACAACACACGAAAAACCATATTTAAAAAATTTCTTACAGACGACACTCGCTCCAACTAAGATACATCAAAAAATTGCTAGAATGGCAATCCAGGAACCAACCACAACTCCAAAAATAAAATTCAAAGTATAGTTCCAAAAAATAGTTGTCAGGTCTCAAATGAGACTCAGTGACCAAGAAGCTGTAACTTGCAGCAAGATATACTTTGGAAGATCTAGATTAACTACATGAGCAACCCCAGAAACGTCTAGACCACGAGATGCAACATCAGTGGCAACCTGCAAAGCAATGTCCAAATAAGAAACTACATATCAATGGTGTCTAAGAACTCCTAAATTAAATTAAGTGCAATTCAGAAAAATGTGAATAAACATACAATGCACAAGTGCAGGAAAAAGATAAGAAGTTGCCTATGAAGAATCCAGATATGGCGATGACACCCAACTTATGGCCTCGGATTGTATACATATGGTCACACTGACTGGGAAACTCACATGTAGTTACAAATTACACCTCTTGAAAGGCTCCCCCTAAGTGTATATATCCCAAACAGAAGTTAGAGGTTCTCCAAACTAATAACTCCAAAAGAAAAATTCAAGCCTATTAAGCATTAAGGGTCCAATGCATTGTCAAGATGTTGCATGGAAATCTTCAAGAATCCATTGTATTGCAGAATGCTAAGAAGAAAGCCTTTTAACGTTTCACAATTATTTTACACCATATATCCCAATGTAGTCAACAGCCTCAGTATAGATTAGAGAAAATATATGGGACATCCAGTCAACTCAATGCCATAGACAGGGTAAGTATAAGCTCATAAGTATAGAACAAGCATCATTACTTTCTGACATACCAAGATATTAGTATGACCACGCCTAAAATCATGAAGGGCAGCCTCTCTTTCGCTTTGACTACGGCCACCATGAAGAGCAACAGCTTGCAAACCTTGTGCTATCAGCGCTTCTGCAACTTCATCACACCTACTAGGTGTGATGAAGTTGCAGAAGCGCTGATAGCACAAGGTTTGCAAGCTGTTGCTCTTCATGGTGGCCGTAGTCAAAGCGAAAGAGAGGCTGCCCTTCATGATTTTAGGCGTGGTCATACTAATATCTTGGTATGTCAGAAAGTAATGATGCTTGTTCTATACTTATGAGCTTATACTTACCCTGTCTATGGCATTGAGTTGACTGGATGTCCCATATATTTTCTCTAATCTATACTGAGGCTGTTGACTACATTGGGATATATGGTGTAAAATAATTGTGAAACGTTAAAAGGCTTTCTTCTTAGCATTCTGCAATACAATGGATTCTTGAAGATTTCCATGCAACATCTTGACAATGCATTGGACCCTTAATGCTTAATAGGCTTGAATTTTTCTTTTGGAGTTATTAGTTTGGAGAACCTCTAACTTCTGTTTGGGATATATACACTTAGGGGGAGCCTTTCAAGAGGTGTAATTTGTAACTACATGTGAGTTTCCCAGTCAGTGTGACCATATGTATACAATCCGAGGCCATAAGTTGGGTGTCATCGCCATATCTGGATTCTTCATAGGCAACTTCTTATCTTTTCCTGCACTTGTGCATTGTATGTTTATTCACATTTTCTGAATTGCACTTAATTTAATTAGGAGTTCTTAGACACCATTGATATGTAGTTTCTTATTTGGACATTGCTTTGCAGGTTGCCACTGATGTTGCATCTCGTGGTCTAGACGTTTCTGGGGTTGCTCATGTAGTTAATCTAGATCTTCCAAAGGTATATCTTGCTGCAAGTTACAGCTTCTTGGTCACTGAGTCTCATTTGAGACCTGACAACTATTTTTTGGAACTATACTTTGAATTTTATTTTTGGAGTTGTGGTTGGTTCCTGGATTGCCATTCTAGCATTTTTTGATGTATCTTAGTTGGAGCGAGTGTCGTCTGTAAGAAATTTTTAAATATGGTTTTTCGTGTGTTGTAAGTAATTGTAAGCCATTCATTATGAATTTCTATGACTAATCTGTCAGCTATTGTTAGATGAAATTTCAGTAACTGTTAGTATACTTCACGATGCTGAAACTTGAACTTCTGTTCTGGCTGCCTCAATTATAGACCATGGAAGATTATGTACACCGTATCGGTAGGACAGGCCGTGCTGGATCAACAGGCCGAGCTACTTCATTTTACACTGACCGTGATACGGTTTCTCCCTCCTCCTCTTTTACCTTCTTACTCTTGTCCTCTGTTTGTTCATGTTCATTGATTTTTTTTCTCTATCCTTGCTCGGCGTAATGGCACATTGCAGTTCCTTGTCACCCAAATAAGGAAAGCAATAGCAGATGTGGAATCTGGCAACACTGTGGCTTTTGCCACTGGGAAGGTATGGTTCACTGTTATATGCATATTAGAAAATAGTGCTATATTCCGTTTCCGTTTTCACTATGCTCCAGAGGAATTGCTTTTAGGATATACTGGATTTTTCATTGTCAGAAAAGTTTTCACTTTTCTCTATCTCTCGTTCTTCATGGTTCCTACGTGCTGTTGCTACTATTGACTTTCAGGTTGCTAGACGGAAGGAGAGAGAAGCAGCAGCTGCCCAAAAGACGCTCAGATTGCACTGTCCAAACTCGCACTGATGGGACCCACGTCAATAAGTGTGGAGGATAAGTACAAGTACATGATTGCCCCGTCTATGTTCAAGAAAGAGGGTGTAGCAGATGGTGCTTGGGATGATTGATATATATTTTTATTGCATGGAACTTTGGTGCACTTCACAGTGAAGTCCCCAAGAACTCAAGGTTGCCAAGGTATGGTAGCTTTTGCAACTTTTTTTTATGTTCCGTAGGATGAAAAGTAGAAAAGATGGAAAGTAAGAGAGATACACTTTCTATCTTTTAAGGATGAAAAGTAAGAATGATACATTTTTTTTTTGTGTTTGGTTGGATGGATGGAAAATAAAAATGATTAATTTTAATTTTTTTTGTTTAATATTAAGGGTGACAATCGAGTTATGTTATGTCATATTCATGTTGAGTTATAAAATTATGAGCTTTTTATATTATTATTCGCGTGTCAGGTAATTTCAAGTTCGTGTCATAAAATTCGTGTTGTGTCATTGTGTTGATTTGAAAATTTTTACCACTAGTTAAGATAAAAAAAATTATATTTT